TTTTGCCTGCAGATTTTGTCTGCTGTATCCAAAGTCTGTTGATGGGGGTCTGTAGATGAGAGGTTTGTCTGTATATATGTTTATAAATACAAATGATTTATTTAATAGGCATACCCATTTTTTCTTTTTTTTGTTCAGATTTTTAACTTAAAAAACCAAACAAACTGGATGACTTGATTTCCTACAAAACTATTATCTGAATACTGGCATAGTGGATAGGTTACTTGCCTGCTAACCTCAAGGTTACACATTCAAATCAAAGCAGAATTCATTTGTTACTTTTATATATCTGTCTATTTTAATGTGATGGAAGTTAGACAAAGAAACATACAAAAAATTCCACACATGAACAAAGCCAATATACACATAGTACCCTCCTCACAGGCAGAAAAGTTAGTAGAGGAGCTGGTTTAGACACCAACCACTCATCCATACAGCATTTTGTACTGGGTTACATGCTACCTGGTAGCAGCTACCAGTAACAGGCCTAAGCCTGACCTAAAACTTTGTAAGTTGGTAATTTGGATTCAGTCATCAGTCTCTGAATGACTTTTTCAAAAAGCATAATCCCAAATTAAAATAATATTCTAATTTTGTTTCAGGGAATTGAACCCTTTCTTCATGTTCTTGATGTTGTTGCCTCAATGTTTAGGTTGATTCACATAATATTTCCTGCTTTGAGTAAAAAAAATCAAAAACATATTTTAAATAATTTAAATATCTCCTTTAAAGTTAAATTGTGGTTTTATTTGAAAGATAATCCAGAAAAAAAATTTTTTTTTTTTAATTTACATTTTTAAATAAAGATTTTAGATATTTTTAAAATATTGTCATCGTTGTTCATCACTCGCTGAAACTCTTGCTGCAGATTTGAATCAACAAAAAAAAATGTGTTTAAATATAAAAATATAAGATATTTTTATTTGTGTTTTTACAACTAAATTTTTCTTAGCATGTGTGGGTGCTAAAGTTCTTACATTCCTTGTTTGTAGTTGTTTGTTAAGATGAAAAGAAATATGATTTTGATTTCTTTGTGTGAGAAAGAAGAGGCAAGGAAGAAAGTGAGAAGGAAAGAGTAAGTGTCATATAACTTGTTGAGGAAGATGGGTGGTGGGGGTGGATGAGTAAGGTAATTTCTTTTAAGCCAAGCGAGGTCAATGAAACTGTTGCCGGCTATCTCTTACTTGTTTTTTCTGTCTAGAAACTTTGCTTAAATACTCTTCAAAGATATCATTAAACATGTTTTTTTATTGTTGGCAGGAATATGACCAATTAGTTGAGCATTAATTTATTAACTGGAAGAATGCATAATCCTCCATACAGTAACCATTTTTTGCTATTTGGTGATTGACTGTCTTGGTGTTTATTTCCATCTTCATGCCAAACTCTACTATAGACGAAAAATATAAACAATTTTAATAATCTCTTAAAAATTTAATATTTGTCCTGGACATTTGGTATATAAATTAGTCATTTTAAGGATTAATTAACTGGATTTTGTAAAATGTTTTTACTTTTTGCTTAAAAATAACATTTATTTATACAAAGTAGTACATGAACTTGTAGAATCCAAATTCTACATTATTACAATACCCAAAAATAGTTTGGTCAAATCTGTGAAAAAAAGTGGATCACAGAACACTTCCAAAAAAAATTTCGAGCCCTCATTGGTTAATGAATATACAAGCAGAAACTCATTCACACTCGCCAGTGAGCATTGTGACATCAAATGAATTGCGACTAAACTTCATATTATACAACTTAACGATATTCACATTCACTTACCAAAACACACCAGTGAACTCTATTCCCATTCACTCACCAAACATTTACTACTTACATGAACAGTAAATTCTTAAATGTAAATTTTTCTCTTGCAGTTAATTTAGAGAATCTTCAATAACAGATTCTAACAAACATCCTTTCAAATCAGAACTCATTTAACAAAATTTAATCTTTCATCAAAAAACTTGAGTTCAACATAAATTAAACTAACAAGATTTCACCTAAAAAAAATTCACTACATTTTTGTAAAATATTTTCATTACAAAAAATATTGAAATTTACTTGTTATTCAAATATTTGTCTTTTATCACAAATATTTCTTGTTTTTGCTTAACATATTCGTAGATTAAAAAATTGTATGGATTGATTTGGGCCGTCAACAACACCATTAAATAAATGGCAACCACCAAACTTTCCACTACAAGCTTTTATAGGTGCGTTGTTATGAGTAGTCTTCTACTGTCACCCCAAAGCTCACGTAAAATTTAAATATGTACAAATGACCAAAACAACTACAATTTCGAAATTGGTATCAAGCTTAAAAAATAGATAACCATAGATAACCAATAAAATTAAGAATATAATATTCTAGGTTTTTTATGAAATTACATCATTTTTTATTTTATTTTTATGCTACAATATGAAGAGTATTAAAAAGTAATTAAAATAATAATTTAAAAACTATTTAAATGATACTTTTGAGTTTTAATTCATTGTTTTTATTTTTATGCTTTTATTTTTTGTTTCGTTTGTCTTAGCTGGCTGATATTATAAAATATTTAAAATTGCACCCAATGCAATGATGTTCTATTCATTTATTCTGTTTTTAAATTTAAAATTTGAAAGTGTTGATTGCAGTCACAGAATTATTGATTTATTTTATTTCATTTTTGAATTTCCATACAAAAAAAAACTCAAAAAAAAAAAAAAAAAAAAAAAAAAAAACAGTTGTAAAAATGAAAAAAATCTTAATGTTCTCATTGGAAAATAGCATTACAATTTGCGTTTGTCTTTACTTCTTCTTAATTCATAAAATTTCATTAAATAATATAGACAAGTTTTTTGTCTATTTATCTTAAGTTCCTTTCATAATGTCTGATAAGCTTAATAACATTATCATTGAACGACGAAAGGAAATCACCATATTGATACATGTAAAAAGATTCATCAGGTAAATAAATTTATTGAAACAAAGCAAGTTCAGTTGACCATTGATTTGCGAATAGTAACTTAACTAGTAGTATGAATTTAAAAATTGCACTGAAAAATTACAAGTAATTTTTTTAAAAGGATCGAATGCAGATTTTCTTTTCTAGTCAAATCTGAAATGTTTTAAAAATAAAAATAAAATGCAAAGTACAGTGTAACCCGGATATAAGAGAGTTGTCGGGACCGGAGAAGAAGTCTCTTATATCCGGGTTTGGTCTCTTTTGTTTAGGTAACACAGGCTCTAATTTGGGACCAGAGAAAATCTCTAATATCCGGGTTACACTGTATCAATCAATAAATTTTCATTTTTCAACAAAAATTATTTTGGTAAAGTTCGGGACGAATTTTCTGTATGTTGTTGATATTTCATTTTTTTTTTTTTTTTTACTGAAATATCATCTTCAGGTTTTTTTTCTCTATGTAACAAAAAAATTAAAAGTACATACATATGATTGAAGTAGGAAGGTGAAACTGATCAAACCAAATATTTCCAAAGTTTTCTTAAATAATGACCTATTTAAGGTCCGATTCAATATAAATTTCATTCATTAATGAAGTACTGAAAATTTTTAATGATAATAATAATAAATTATTGATTTCATTATCGAAAATGTGCACGCATTTTGGTGATGCCTACAATATGTCAATAAACAAATTCAGATGAATGTGTACGAGTTGAAAATACAACAGAGGACTCAGAATGTGAGGCTAGTCCAAAAAAATTAAGGGAAATGGAAGGGAGGTAATTCAGTGTGTGATATACCGAAAAATTGAAACGATAAACAAACTTAAACGCCTACTGTTATTTAATTCTGTATGCATAATTTCTTAAAAAGATTTAAAGCTAAAAAAATAATGCCGAGAAAAACAATAACAAAAATATGCTTTGAGCCTTTGAGGAAGCTGCAATTTTTTCTGAAAGTTGTTACTTGATGTAAAAGACAAATTGAAAATAAGCATAATTTTTTAAAGATAAGCAAAAATTTACCTCCTACTCTGGGAAGAATGCTGAACTTAGATTTAAAAAAAAAATCATTTATTTCTTGTTTATTTTCAAAAAACAAAACTTTAACTAAGAAAAGCCTAGTTTATATTTTATTAAAAATGTTGTATACATTGTCACATTAAAAGAGAAAACACGTTCATAACACATACTTAAAAAAAAATTAAATCAGGCTAAGCCAGGTATTTAAAATCAGTACGTGCTGAAGTCTTAAAACGGCGTCACCCAGGTATTATCTTTCTTTCGAGAGCGGGCAAGGGTCATTCCCTGGCACCTGAGGCGTTCCAAAGAGGGAATATGTGCAATTTTTGCATGGCTATCAAACCCGCTTTTTAGTCTCAATATTCCGATCGATGAGGTAGTGCAGTTCAATGAATACTTACAAACAACTTTCAATGATTTTTTTAAGCCCGACAAAAGAGAAGACAATTTTTGTAGTATCACCAATTAATGCTTTTTTTTTTTTTTAAAAAAAAAAAAAAAAAGTTCATCATGGAGAATATAATAGACCGAAAAGTTTATTAATAATAAAAGCTTATTTACTTATTTAAAAAAAAGTTTAATCTAAAAAAACAAAACAAAAACAAATAAAGTTTTTACAAGGGATGTTCACGAAAAAAAGTCATAATTAAAAATTAATTATTTCATTTCTAACCTTTTTAAAAAGTAAAAATATATTTAAAATATTACCAACAATTTTTTAGAACTTTGTCTGCACAAAAATCAAAACATTTTTAAATCAAATACTTTTTAACTGTTAAACAATTAAGACAATAAAAATCGAACAATAAGTAAAATCAGGGACACCTGTCCAACAACACACTGCAATAAAACAGTCAAAATCCGATCAGAGTTACGGCCCTTGCGGTTCGCATCGGGTTCTCTCGGTACTAAGGATATACAAAATGGCAGCTGTGCAGAGGGCAAAGAAATACCAGTGTTCTTCTGTGATTTGCTATTCTTTCCGTGAACTAACCGTTTGAACTGATCTACAAATTGTAGAATGGTGAGTGTCCCGTGTCAAATATAGTGACTGCCCTCTTCGCCAGCTGGCATAACCTCCGTAACAAAACGAACACGTAATAGTGTTTTCATAACAAAACAATGAAGTCTTAAAATTGAAACTAACTCAAGAGTACACGCCAATGTCGCTGTCTATGTTTTTGTCGTAAATTCTTTAATATTATTATTATTTATGCCACTGTTTTACACAGACTATGACATCACTGTCAATTTACTTCATATATTATTATAGACTTTTATTAAATGATTTCTTCAGTTAAAGATGACAATGACTTTTTCACCTTTTTTGTTTAAATAAGCGTGCCCCTTACGTTAAAAAAAACTAAATTAAATTACGATTTTCAGGACCCTTTCTGTTTTTTTATAAAGATGCATGCTTTTCAGTCTTTACTCCTTTTATTTATTTTTTTTTTATCCTACTTGTTATTCTTAAAATACTTCTCTCTTTTTTTAAAATATAGAATTTTTGTTCAAATAAGGATTTATTTACTGATTTCATTCATCATTTTTGTTTATATTTTTATTACTATTCTGCAATCGTATCAATTAAAAAATAGGAGCAAACATTTTCAACAGTTTTGTGATGAAAATTTGCTTTTCACTGATTTATTTTTTACTGTTTATATAGTAAATCTGCTTCTTGTTCAATCACAAAGTCACAAAAATATTCACGACAGATGGGATCAAGTTTGTCGTGACGTGAGATATAAAATTTAAAATGTAAAACATGTATAAAAATATTTTGACAACATTTATTTTCTTGATGGCTTGATTATATTGAATCGGACCTTAAATAGGTCTTCATAAATATGTAAATTTTACATATTTATTTTTTAGTAATTAAATAAATTAAAAAAAAAGTATGTTAAAAATCCATGTTTACGAAGACGTGTTTGTTCACCTGGAGGTTTACCAGGGTCGATCAGAAAGTTCATAACTTGAAAGTTTAACACGGTTATTAGCGGAGTTTGGATCTCAAATTGACAAATAAATTTCAAATTTCATTATAATTTTAGTTCGATTTTTCTGTGATTAATATTCAATACTTATACAGATATTTTTAACGGGGAATCAGATCATGTTTGAAAATAAATGTATTGTGTATGCTTCTTCTATATCATTAGGTAGCGTGGTTAAAAATGATAAACTTTGAAAAAAGGTTTCCGAAAATTAATGTAGTAGAAAATAATGGGTGGTGTTATAACAAAATATCCTTGTTTCAGTATTTGGACAAGGTTTAAAAAAAAAAAAAAAAAAACATAATTTCTGTTAAATCTTGGAAAAAGTATTAAACAAAGTTACAAAAATTAGCATAAGAAAAAAAACAATGTTCCATGCTTGTTTTAGTTTTTGTTTTTTAAGTTTTTTTCAATGTTTTCAAATTGGCACCTTTGGAATGAGGAATTAAATTCATTTACATAATCTTCAATGAAATTAGTTTTTTCTTTTAAACTTTATATTACTAATAATTACTATTTTTTTGTAAATAGATCTAATCTCCTGTGTGTTCTTATTCGATTATCAACTTAAGTTTGTTTATATAAGAAATTTTTTTAGTATGTTGGGCGTGGTTCATCACGTTTTTGTCGAAGGTCCAGTCATGCTGTGTAAAGGCCCTATTTTAGACAATTTTTATTGTAGTTACATAAAAAATGCAAACGTAACAATATGTTGTTGAGCTGTTTAATTTATTCAGTCATATTACAATGCATCATTGGCTATTATTATTTGTTTTTATACGCTGATATATTTTTAATTTTTATTCATGTTAAATTAGTAAATTTAAAAATTTAAAAAAATATAAAGTGCTTGCAACAGTTTATTTATTGCGAAACCGTTCAGTCTGGACATGAAAATAACTGTTTGGTAAATAAATCCTTGTCGAAAACATTGTAATGTAATTTATCACAAATTCGTTGCACACTCACGTTACGTTGACGTAAAAAAAAAAAAAAAAAAAAAAAAAAAAAAATACTATTTTGATAAGTGGTGTAAAAATAAAATAAATAAATAAAAGTAAAAAAAAATAAACTAATAAATTTTAATATTTTTGCAGAATAAGGGAAGGTAAAAAGGCAATTTTGGTTTTGAAAATCGATATAAAAAAAGTTCCATATGTTGTTTTTACACTTTATAAAACTCGAGGCTTGTAACTAGTAAAAAGTGTCAACAAAAGTTTATTGACGATGTGGCATTTCATTTATTTAATATTTTTAAGTTAACCTTCATCTATCGCCCTCATTCCAGTTTGTCACATTTTTTTTAACACTCACATTGCGAATATTTGTTTATAAATTTTATTTTTTTTTAAGTAGTTAACAAAATTACTTTTAAAAACTCACAGAAGGTATGTTTCCACATTGTAGGAGTACGAATAGCTATGAGTTTGAAATGAAAGTGATCTCTTTCACTTTTGTTTTGAGCGACAAAAAAAAAGTGATGTTTTAGAGGAAATTTTATAATAATAGTTAAAAAATCTTTGTATGCAGAAAAAGGGTTGCTGATGAATTAACGTTTTTCCGAGGTTAAAAAAAAAAGTCAAACTGAAGTAAAAACATCAAAAAATTGATATCTAATTTTTTTTTCTTTAGTATACAGTATACTAAATACTGTACAGTATACTAATTTTTACTATTATTATTATCTATACTAGTATTACTAGTATAGATAATAATAATAGTAAAAATTATCTACTGAACAATTTATAAACAAAAAGAAAATGTTCTTGTGGTTAGAATGTGGGGGCTTAAAAGAAGTGAAATTCCAAATTTACGTTAACAAAAACAAAAAAAAACTACTCATTTTATAATTTTATTGTGTGTCACTAATACAAAAATACTAAACTTCAAAGGAAATTCTGTTTCTTATGAACTTGATTGTTTTGGAGAAAGTTGTGAAAAATATTTTTCTGGTTTTTAACAGTATTTCTTAAGTTTGGTAATGGAACTGCTGCCAGAGTTTCACATGAAAACTTAAAAGAAAGGGACTAAATAGCACTTGAAATGGAAATTCAAGACTAAGCTTTTTATGAATTACTAGAAATAGGCAGTGTGTCGTGTAAATAATCAATATAGCAGTAAAAATATGATTATATAAAAAATAAAGACATACCTATTTTATTAATAAAATAGGTATGTCTTTATTTAGAAAAAGTTTAAAATAAAATTTTTATTTTAAACTTTTTCTGCCATGCACGTAAAAATTTGGGGGGAAAAAGTCCAATTTAAGCCAAGAAAAAAAAATTACGAACAACAAAGTAAAACAAAATTCGAAACAGATTTGTTTGCAAGACACGTACGTAGTCGTTTCTGGCTGACAGCAAACAAAAAAACTAAGTTTCTGAATTAAATTATTTAAAAAAAAAAATATGAAAGAAACTCTTTCAGCTATTCATAGTGGACGAAATTGTGAAAAGAAAAGTGTAGTATTTTTCACTTTTCAGTATGGTCATTTTAAAAATCTTCCACATCTGAAAAGCCAAAAGTTAAAAAAGTACAATTTAAAAACTTTTTAAAAACGAATCTTTGCTTTTTTGTTGACTGCCAAACGAAGCTAACATTAGGCAGCCCATTATTAAGGTAAAAGAGGCAGCTTATGTACTGAAGCCATAGCATCTGTGGTGTATCTTGCTTGACTGAGCTTGCTTTAGTTTAACCCTCTGACTGAGAAGGTTGGGCTTCGTCTGGTTTGAATTCAGAGTTTTCTTTCTCTTAGAAGATTGCCAACCAAGGCTATAGGACCCAATCTGACCTGGTATTTACCCATAGAGGGGAGGGAGAAGAAAATTGTATTCATACCTTTGTCAAGATTTGCGCGCGCGTTAAGTGAATAACACTACTGGAGTTTCAACTCAGTTCCCAGGTTTCTCTTTCCGATGTAAATGGATAGCCTGTTACACCATACATGCACATAAAAAAATTTGGGTTACAGTCGGTTTTAGCGTTTCAAACAAGTTTTACTTACCAAATTTATCTCCCTTACACTAGAAGTAAACTTCTTGAATGCAACTCATTATGAGCCTTCCTTTCTTCTGTATGCTTCGATCATGATTTCCAAACGCAAAATAGTGTTAGAAATCCAATGTAAATTTATTTCAAGTATTAAATTAAGAAAACAAAACACTTTCTTAAAAAAAGACTTAATTAAAAATGTCAAATTGAAGAATAAAAATATGTATCGGTTTCCGAAATCTGCTTTTTATCAAAACTCAACAAAAGGGTGCTCGTGTAGAATCTCAAGAAGTTTACAAAACATTATTCAAGAAAGAAGAAATCAAGTGTTTTGTGAAAAAATTGTTTGAAACATTAAAAAAACGAATTATCCCCCAAACTTGATTGTAGTCTTGTTTAAAGATTAATTGAATTGTCTCTCCTACAACTTGGTACGACTTAAATAGACTGGTCCATTAAGAAAAAAAAAATCTTTTTTAGGAAATAATTCTCTCATAATATCAAATCCGTAACTGGTAAAGGATAATCCAAATAAGTCTTTTTAAAAAGATAGATCCATAGAGGGGGGGGGGGCTCAATATACCAAAGTACAGAGCAATATGATACATCAGAGGAAAAACTCTCAATACAATTACATCATTAAAGAGTTCTGTAATAATTTATTTCAAATATCTGCCTCATCAGTTATATAATCGAACTCTTTTTTTGAGTTTTTCCTTTGTGTGTAATAATGAGAGAGCTTCCTAGGCCTCGGCACTTGTCCGAATCGAAAAATATTTATTTGTTATCGATTTTAGAAAAGGATGGTTCCTGTTTAGTTTAGTTTAGTTAACTTTTGTGCCGGAAGTGGAGTAAAAACGTTTCTTCCTTATTTTAGAGGGGAGAACTTGCTCACTCCTGGGGATTCCAACCCTGCGGCAGTACCTTCCTCATTGCGGTAAGAGAGGGTAGGGTCGGTGTAATATTGATGCCAGCGTCACAATTTCTCTTTGGCCGATAGACATTATGTGTATGGCGCTCCTCACGTTGAAAA